GGAGGTCAGGCATCCACAAGGAAGGAGGAGGAGGAGGAGGAAGTGGAGGAGGAGGAGGAGGAAGTGGAGGAGGAGGTGGAGGAGGAGGTGGCTCATTGGAATGGAGGAAGTCATGGGACTGTGAGATTTGCAGGTGGGAAGGGCATTCAGACAGATGCTGAAGTTACCTAGGAGCTGGAAGGAGTTGCTTTGGACATCAAAGGAGGAAGGTGTTGTACTGGATAGGAGGGAGCGGTGAAGGAGGAAAGTGACCAAACCATTTCCCAGCCTCTTGCACATGGGGCATCAGAAGATGAGCATCCTTCCTTCACTTAAGAGAATTTCAGTCAAAACCATGGAGTAGTGTTTGGAAGGTTAAAGAAGTAGAGGATTTGGTGTATGATGACACAGAGGTTTCAGAGGGCCTCGTAGAAAGAACTGGGAAGGAGTAAAGAGAGAGAGAGAGAGAGAGAGAAAGAGAGAGAGAGAGAGAGAGAGAGATTGACTGATTCATGGTACAGCAATAGATGAGAATACCAGAGAGTAAAGAATGAAAATTCGTCCTGAGATGTCCAAAAGTCTCAGGTGTGACATACTTCTAGGGCCTGCACAGGACATTGCACAAAATGGTGTCAGCAATCTCAGGATATTAGAAACCCAGAGTGGGTCCACTTGTCAACAAAGGATCACTAACTTGTCTCCAAGGCCAGTGCAGGGAGTAAGCAAACACTGGAACCCAGAGAAAAATTCTCTTCAATCCAATATCTGTTCTATTTCCAATTTTAATTTTGAAATAGCTTTTTCTCTGATTATGAAAGAAATACATACTCATTGCAAACAATAAAGTAACACAGAAAAGTATAAAGTATAAAATAGAGATTACTTATAAATCCCAGGGGGAGATAATATAATCACCGTGAACAGAGCCCTGTCTGGCACTGAGAGAACACCCTGGCCTTTGTCAGTTAGGGCTCTGAAGTGCACCTGTCAGTCAGTTTTCCCCCTCTCCCTCGCCTGTCCTCTTTCACTCCCATCTGTGGTGCTGCTCCCTTTCTGGCTTCATCCCTGATCTCCCCAAATTCAGATCTCAATCATTTTTGTAGTGGAATCACTTTACCTGGAGCTCATCCACTTATTCCTTAAGTGTTGAATGGATGTGGCTGCTGAGGTTGCAGGCTCTGCTGGGCAGTTACAGTGGCCATGGTGCTCTGGATGCTCCTTTTGGTCCTCCCCGGGGTCAGAAACCGCGTTGCTAGGGAAAATCCGAAACCTCTGAGCTTTCCACCTGCACTTTTAAGAAGAGAAAATGCCACATTGGGGGTGGGGCTAACCCATCCTCTACAGCAGAGCCTCTGTGAGTCACTCACTGTCATTCACCTGTGAGGTACTTGGTTTTTTACCAGCAAGATCCAGTCTCTTGGCCCAGACACAACCTGGCAGGCCAGAGTCAAATCAGCTTCAACTGCCCCATCAGGGGGAGAGGCCTGAGAGATGTTTCAGCCCCTGATGATAGCATGTGTGTAATTCTGTTTTATCATTCTGCCCCCAGAGAAGGAAAGTGAAACAGACCTAACAAGAACAATGCTTGATAAATTTGTCCTTTATTTTACCGCATAAGTCATACCTGCTATATTTCACAACACACTAATTTTTTCTTTTCTTCCTTCCTCCCACCTATCTCCTGCTACTTCACCAGAAGCATAAAGCTTTCAACATCCTGCTGTCCATTAGCATAAATAAACTCATGCTTTTAGAGTATAAATAGGTTTGATGCTATATTTGTTAAAGACTGTGTTACCAGAAGGGATAAAAATATTCTTGAGTGACAGGTAGATCATATACTTCAGAGACAGACAGTAACATGCCTTTATTGTGGTTCCCTGAAAGTCAATTATTTTAACTGTAGATTAAAACCTCAGGTCTCGGCCCAAGTCACATTTCCACTTCAGAAATTGTTAAACCATACAGTGTTTCAGAATGTGACCCTTCGTGTTTTAATTTATTTTTTCTGTTGCCAATATATTGTAAGCAGATCTAAAAAATGAAAAGGATGAAGTGCCATTTAAATTCAATCTTCGCTCTTTGAGCCGATGGGTAATGTTGTTATAAGTTTTCATATCTCTGTTGTTAATTTAAATTTTATGTAACATTTATACAACAGATCAGAGAATACTGGGCTAAAAAAGAACAGAATTGGCAAGAAATGGAAATGAGAGATCTTCGGCGTCTAGAAGAATTGAAGAAAATAATGGCTGAACAGTCAGTAAAAGACAGAGAAAGGTAAAAGAAAAAAATTAAATTGTATGGTGATGGAGGTAGTGGATGCAATCTTCTATCCTATGTTAGGATAAACAATATCAGTGGGAACATTTTTTTTACACTTAATATATATTTACAGTATTTATATTCACAAATGGGTAAACTGATACTTCTGACCTATTTTAAACTCTCATATTCATACATGAACCGCTAGTTTTTTATTTTGTTCCTTAAAAAGTTTCCTAGTTAAAACCCTCACAGAAGATTCCATAGTATCTGATTGCCCACTGTGTACATGAATGATACTGGCTGCTGCTGTCACTTAATATTTTGACCCAGAAAGAGGAAAGCATTATTCAGATGAGAAGGAAGACCCACTTACTATAGCTGAGGCTGGGGAGGATGATACACAATTACACTGTGCTGTATGGTATTCACTGTAGTATACTTCATTTTTCTAGAAATGAAGTATAGAAAAAAACCTGAATTTCCTAGAATAATATTTGTTTGTTTTTGAACTGGAAAAAAAATAAATTTCCTAGAATAATGTTTGTTTGTTTGCTTTCGAACTGGAAAGGACATTTGAGATCAACTAACCCAATCTCCTCATTCTATGAATGAGTCTACTGAGAAATTAAAGCTATTTTCCCAATGTTACTGTATCAATCAGATTCAGTGGAAAAGACAGAGACAACATAGTAATTTGAATAGGAAAAGCTTTAAATAAAGAATTATTCATTCTAACAGAAAAATCTGTTACATAAAGGGGTAAAGAAAACTTTAAAAAGAGAACTTTATCCCAGGGATAAAGGAGGGTTCCCTAGAAAGAAAGAAATTAGAGGTTTGTCTCCCGTCCCTCGGCATGGTTGGGATTCACACCTCGTTGTGGGAGGTGTGGTGTGGCCCGTGAATGGTGGAGACGTTCTCCGATGGCCTCCACAAGGCCTTGTGCACAGTCAGCCTGCAGGCAGAAACCCCCTGCTTGGTGCAGGAGGCCAAAGCCGGAAGCCAACCCCTTGGGTGCTTGTGAGACTCTGTGGGAATCTGACCATGGGAGAGCCTCTAAAATCTGATGGGCACCTGATTATGAGGTGCCATTGGCACTTCATGGGCACAAGCACCATGGGGTATCTCTCACACATCCCACTGGCCACCACGTGGTGGGAGCAAGAAGGGATAAACACTGGATCCGGGAAGGAGAACTGCTTTCTTCTTTGGCGTCCTGCCAGCACTCCTTTCTGACAGAACATCGTATGAGCTGCGAGAGAGAAATATTACAGGGTTCAGCTCTTTTCCCAGAGCAGACAATGAAGGGTGGATTTGGAGTTCAGAGACCATAAACTGGTAATTGGCATAGTTGTCTACTTTTGCTAGTTCCTGAGTGGACTTTCACAAAAGATAAATTAAGGATAGATCTTTCATTTCATAACACAAATCACAATAAATATTCTTTATAGTTAGTCAATGTAAAAAGAATTGCCCGAAACTACATACTTCCTGTTCAATTTTGCTTGGAACCTAAAACTGCTCTTAAAAATAAAGCAATTTTAAAAATTGCTCCTTAGACTTATAAATAACTTTGAAGGTCTTACCATTTGATGCAATGGGGTTCACTTGTATCTAGGAAGCTTCCAGTGTGACTTGTGGGACAGTCATTGCAGACTCCAGTCATAAGATTGGGGAGTGAATCTGGAGTTCCGGATAGATGCCAGGAAATCCCTAAGGATTTTCTAGATGAAATTTACATTATTTTCCAGGTATCTCAGGATTTTAGAGTTCAGTTTAGTCGATTATAAAGAAAACAGAATATAGCAAAGTCCAGGCTCAAGGCTAGGAGGTGAAGCAGCCAGCGAGAAACCGATTAAACAAGCACAATCCAAGAGATGAGTGAAAGCAGAAGACAGGCCATGCCATGGGTCAGAGACAACAACTCTCAAACAACCAAGTACTAAAGGCAAGGCCAAGGTGACGTTCAAAAGGCTTGCTGGATAGTCTGAAACTATGCCGGGGAAACAAAAGTGAGCCACAGGATTAAAGCGGGTGGGAAAAACAGAACAGATTCGAGGTCCCAGCAGTTAGGGGACATGTATCTAATAGAATCTCTCCTCATAGCCGGCGTTTCTTTGATTACAGAGCCATGTTAGTCCTTTGCTTCCTGTCCCAATAATTATCAAGATTAGCTGACTCAGAACTCCAGTTGAAAAGAAGAAAAGGAAAGTCAGATTAATCTGCATTATGTAACAGGATAAAAATAGGCACATTATAACAAAGTAAAAAGATTACTAAGGACTAGGCACCAGACCATGAGGGTTTTAGTGTTCAATCTTCCTGAATAGTGGGTGACCTAAGGAAAAGCATTCTTTTCACCTCTACAAGGCTCTGTTTTGTGCTTTGTCAATGTTAACTGGATGATCTCTGTGAGTTAAGTGAGCTATTAACTCTTAAGGGTCTATGATCTGTATGAATCCAGTATTTGCATGGAAAATCCATGAAAAGGGGCATTAAAATATTAGGATAATATATTAGAAAATAATTCTCAGAAAATTGTGGGTGATGTAAATAAAAGAATAGACCTCATTCTGTGATTTAGGGAAATAAAATTCAGCATGTAAAAATTGCTGGTGGCTTTTTCTTCTGAACCAAAAGTTGAAATTTTTTATAATCATCCTGAAACTAAGAAATTGGTTTGATTGGTTAAAATGTTTTTCTCCACTACTGAAATACAATTCACAAATCTCATATTTGATATTATACTTGTAGGCACATTTTTCTCATGTCAAAATAAGAAGGCTTGAAACAGTTTTCAGATTTGTTAAAAATGCACACAGCCTTGAGGGTTTTGGAAACTTCTGCTTTTTATTGTCTTTTTTATAATTCTAAGAAAGTTTCTTGAAAATAATATTCATAAATTAGCACATATACTAGGTTGAGTCATAAGCAAATTTCACTTTTTTGTGTAAAAAATGGTTAAGTATCCACAATTTCATGTGGTTCAACATAATTTTTAAAAAATAGCAACTCATTTATTAATTATATTTCCCTTCTCATTCTATTATCAAATGTCTTTTGCCCTCATCTTTCTACTGAAATTATTGCCAAAGTTTTCACTACCCTGCTAATTTCCGGCTGCCTTATTTTTATTTCTCAACTTGCTGTAGAGGTTAAAAGGGAAGGCTTTAGTCTAGAGTCAGGTTCTTGAGGCTAGAATCCTGGCCTCTACCCTTTATAGCTGTATGCACTTGGCTAAGTCATTTAACTTCTCTGAACTTCAGTTTCTTCTTCTGTACAATGAAAGCATAAATAGTATATACTTCATAGAATTGTTGCAAGGGATAAAGGAGATATTGAATTAACATACTTCCTGGAACATAGTAGGTATTCATTAAATATAAGTGATTACTATCAATTGACTTCTGAAAACATGAGACACCTTCCAACATAATTTTTTTCTCAAAATACATAAGCATTTGAAATATTTTAGACACAACATGTAATATGAGGACAGCCTTATCCTAATATATGAAAACCCTGGCTCATAACAACTGGTCACAACCTAGGCTCAACCAATCAGAAGTCAGTCCTGCTTCCGCTGCAGGCGTGGTGCCCCAGCACTGACTGCTGAGGGGGCTTCTAATCAGGGTCAGAGAGAGGCCTGAAGAGAGAAGCAGGGACTGATCTGTTGCCTCTGTGGCAGCTTTTGATCAGCACTTGCCTCTTCCTTTCTCTGCCAGTCTGGCCAGCAGCCACCTCTCCATTTCTCTCCAGGCCTCCAAGGGGCTGCTGATCAGCCTGGCCTTTCTGATCAGGCCCCCGTTGATAGTCCCAGAGATGCTAACTGGCACAGAAACTGACCAATCAGAACCAAATCTGGGTGAAGTGTGAGGAGCCAATGGCTGCCTAGGAGGCGGGTCTTTTGATGCTGACTGGCATAGAAACGGACTAATCAGAACCAAATCAAGGTCAACTATTAGGAGCCAATGGCTGCCTAGGAGGCAGAGCTTTTGATGCTGACTGGCATAGAAACCGACCAATCAGAACCAAATTGGCCAGCAGAGGAGGGCAGTTAGGGGCAAGATCAGGCTGGCAGGGAGGGCCATTGGGGTGAGATCAGGCTGGCAGGGGAGGGCAGTTGGGGCGAGATCAGGCTAGCAGAGGAGGATAGTTGGGAGCAACCAGGCCGGCAGGGGAGGGCAGTTAGGGGCAAGATCAGGCCAGCAGGGGAGGGCAGTTGGGAGCAATCAGGCTGGCAGGGGAGGGCAGTTAGGGGTGAGATCAGACCAGCAGAGGAGGGCAGTTGGGAGCAAGATCACTCAGGCAGAGGCAGTTAGGGGCGAGATGGGGCTGGCAGGGGAGAGCAGCTGGGGGCGAGATCAGGCTGGGCAGTTAAGGGTGATCAGGCAGGCAAGCAGGCAGAGGGGTTAGGGGCAATTAGGCAGACAGGCAGAGGCAGTTAGGGGCAATCAGGCAGGCAGGCAAGTGAGCAGTTAGGAGCCAGCGGTCCCAGATTGTGAGAGGGTGCAATCTGGGACTGCTGTGGGATTGGGCCTAAACCGGCAGTTGGACTTCCCCCAGGGGGTCCCTATTGGAGAGGGTGCAGGCTGGGCTGAGGGAACCACCCCCTTCATGCACGAATTTCATGCACTGGGCCACTCGTAACAAATAAAACATTAAAGTTAAATCAGGAGCAACCTTTGATCATTATCTTCATATAAGCTCTTCTGTAGAAATTATTTCTGTTATCAGTTGTTTAATACATAGGCATATATATACATATACATATATACTGATGTATATACATGCCACCTATGTGAACCTACATGAAATTGAATTTAAGAACAACAAAAAAACAATATATTTTATGATAACATACCACTATATTAGCTTTGGCTATCATAACTGGTGACTTAAACAACAGAAATTTATTTTCTCACGGTTCTGGAGGCTAGAAGTCCAAGATCAAGTTGCCAGCTTGATTGGTTTCTGGTGAGAACTCTATTCTGGGCGTACAGACAGCTGTCTTC